GGGGGGTGACCAGGGTCTGCTAGTGATAAGACACTTGCCTACAGAGGATCTGAGATCTGAGTCCACGTGCCTGAAGACATTTCACTCCACGTCAGTGTTGTGTAAGGGTTCCATGGCTTTGCTGAGATTGGAAAAGACATGGTGGCCGGTGACAGTTGGGTCCAAAATTCGTTTGGTCCGACGTATGTATGGCCGGCTGGGGATAAAGACACCCCTGGAAGAACCTTCTCATTTGCCTCGTGCTGATGAGCACTAGCACACGCAAGCTTGCAAAGAATGCACGCACCTATCGATCAGTCGATATTAAATATCATACGTAAGCCGCAAGACGCGTCTCCTCTCGACAATTACTTCACAAGAAAAGCCAAGATAGGAAGATGCACAGTACAACCGCCACGCACAAGAGGACTCCAAAGAAAGCCAGACAATGTACACCTGCCACGTAACACGCGAACTGTACACACGTGCAATCCCACCAAACTGCACACGCGTGTAAACCCTGTGCACTGTACACGTGTAAGACCAGTGAGCTGTACACACGTGGAATATCAGCAGTGAACTGGACACACGCGTGATCCCAGCCATCTCTATACACACGTGAAATGTCGGCCAACTGTGGAAACCCGTCATAGCAGCTAACAGTACAAATGGAGTCCCAGCGAACTGTTCACACGTGGAATGATACCAGCCAAATACGCACACGTGTGAGCCAAATACGCACACGTGTGATACCAGCCAACTGTACACACGCGTAATCCCAGTGACCTACACAGGTGTAAGGCCAGCCAAAGGTAAACGCGTGTAATCCCAGAGAACTGCACACACGTGCAATACCAGCGGACTGTACACACGTGTAGTCCCAGGCAATGCCACACACGAGTAATACACACGCCAACGGTACACACTTTTCGTAATCCCCGTCGACTGTATACAGGTGTAATCCCAGTCAGCTGTCTGTACACGTGTAGTCCCACTCAGCTGCACACACGTGTAGTCCCAGTGAACTGTACACACCAGTAAGCAACTGCCTCCTCTCGCACGTAAGAGCCCAGTACAAGAATATCGAGCCTACAAGCAACAACGGCAGCGGGGCAGCGAACGCGCTGTGAATCCTCTCTCTCTCTCTCTCTCTCTCTCTCTCTCTCTCTCTCTCTCTCTCTCTCTCTCTCTCTCTCTATGTGCCTGCCCATTTCTCTCGTGCAAAATCGGGAAATGAATTCTCCCCACGTCTCTCGTGAAAAATGGGAATGAATCCAACTTTTCCGGTCGTTCTACTGTGCATTTCAACACACGCTACGCCTGTGTAAGTTCCCCAAGATGATGAGCTCCCAAACGACTCCGTCGATATGAGCTCTTGGGAGTCATCAGCCTGTTATCCCCGGCGTACCTTTGATCCGTTGAGCGAGAGCCCTTCCACACGGGCCACCCCGATCACTATGGCCGACTTTCGCCTACGCCGTCAGCGTTGTACACGTGTAAGTGTGTCAGCACATACTTGTTACGGTAAGTTGAGATTTCTTTATCGCCTTTCCGAGTTCGAAATCCATCAATGCGGTTGGGTATGAACTCCGTTAAGATCACGAGACTGGCATATGCTAATGCTAATATCCGTCTATCGATTCAGTACATACAGCAATTACCGTAGCTGATAAAAAGGACCAGCGAAACTCTTTGATCTGAAGCCGTTCTGTAATCAACCACCTGCCTGCGATAAGCCTAGAATTGACAAGCCCGTTAGAAAACGCAAGCGCACGCATAACACACAGCAAGCCAAACCTCGAAATGCGGCCTAAGGTTCGCGCTAGACATCTCCCCTACACAAATTAGCGCACATATCCATAGATCTCTCATGGCCGTCGATTTGGCTTCAACTCTCTCTCTCTCTCTCTCTCTCTCTCTCTCTCTCTCTCTCTCTCTCTCTCTCTCTCTCATACACACACACACACACACACATCTATCTTTCGATCTCTCTCCCTCAGACACACACGCGCCCAACAAACGCTAGCTTTAACTCGCTTTCCCCCACTTCGATCTTTCTCTCCCTAGCGCTATCTTCTCTCCCACACTACTTTGACACTAGTCTTCTCTAATGAAAGCTGCGTGGATCGATCAGTCCGTTGCACTCTCTCTCTCTCTCTCTCTCTCTCTCTCTCTCTCTCTCTCTCTCTCTCTCTCTCT